TGTTACTTACAGTTCTTTTCCTTCCAGTCTGACTTCCCCATAAGGTAATAAACCTCCTTAGCTAAGCATACACTTGGGAAAATGCATGCTTCTTCCAGTTCTTATAGCTCATAAGAGATATGAATATACCTCCAAGACAAATCGATAAAACAAATTGTGGAATTGAGTTCTACGTATCAGCGTTTATGGTTTTTCTTACCAAACTTACAACAGTGCCATTTTACGTGGTCGAAACTTATTCAATGCTACTCAGAAATTGCAATCCTACCAATCAATTTAAATTGAAAGTGATTCTATAAAAGATCATTTCAAAAAATGCCTCCAAAGTGAATAAAACGGTGAAGAGCAACATTTTTCATTAATTGGTCGCCATAATATTTCAATCACTGGGAGACTATTTACATTAAATAATACATTAATTTCATATTAACGACCCTAATTATCTGTCTTCGTGACTTTAGCTCATTTTCATGACACACACATAAATATATATTCTATTTAATGTTGCTTGTATACGAGCCGCCATTTTTGAGGGCTGGTGAATTCAGTATAAATATTATAATACTTCACTAATTATGAAACGGTTAGTGTGAGAGATCACGATTTATATACATCGTCGCTAAAATCATCTGCATGATAATTCGATAGCAAACAAGGTGGAGAGCACTTTGTGCTCAAAGAAAAAAAGAATGTGTTGAAGGGAATAAACCACGAAATGTTTTTTTATGGTTGCACTACATTTAACAGGGGCAAATAATCAGCAAAAATGAACTTCCCATCAGATAAAGCAAGTGTGTAAAGACGGAAATGATCATGTAACCACTATGATAGTTTGTGCTCCTGAATGTGCACTCGTATACAAGTTTTTTTCTAAATACAAGGCTATCCACCGAATGAAGAGACAATTGAAAATGAAACATTATAATTGGGAGGTAGCAGAGAATGTAAAACGGCAGGAAGGGTAATTGCAAAATAACCCAGACCTCTTTATTCGATGTACTTGGATTTTGACGCTGTGCATCACACCGTCCTATTGGAGTCATAGACCAGATAACTTCATTAATAAAACTTGTGATCATGTGAAAGAAGACTCAAACAAGACCGTTAAGATAACAAAACTCAGAACATTTAATAAAACCCATAGCCAATACTCGCTTCTAAGGCGTTCTTATAATCTGCTCTGGAATCATTATTAATGCTGAGTGTATGACGAATAAAACGAAGAACTCTTGTTACAGATACCTGTTGTCACAAATCACACATGAAATTATCAAGCGAACTCAATTGCTCGCATTTATCCAATTTATAAGAGGTTACATATAGTTACGAAAAAGATTCATTACCGATATACAGTGAAATCAGCATTATTGATAATGCATAAGTGCAGACAGCACCAGAGGACCATACTCAATGATAGCTCGGTGTCTATCTCCAATCTGATTGAAATTCATTCGCATCCTCAATATATAACGAGGTGGTTGTAAGGCTCTCCCTTTAAAGGTCAAAGGGTGTTTAAATTTTCAAGAAAAGTGAGGGTCATTGAAACAGCAAGGAGTTAGGCAGCTACCAGCGCAGCGATGATAATGAAAAATTACCGAAATTCCTGATGAGATCGATCCCATTACCGTTTAGAAACACTGCGCTAAGCTCAAGGATAATTAATCACCAATAAAACCTGAAAACCTGCATGGGATGGTAATATGTGCATTACTTATTCAAATAAACACAACAAAACCGATATTTAAAATAAGGGGTGTGGGGTAGACTTACCTTCTCGTGGTGCACCCTGGGCAACGTATACTTATACGGCAAAAAAGTCTATTAACCGGCAGTTGACTTCTCACTTCAAACTACCATCACCCCCACTGTATGTCATATTCGATCCCTACCACTACTCATCTTACCCTTTCTGAGCCTTTGCGTCTGTTTCTTTTACATTTGTGAATCACTCTTCTATTCTCCCTCCCGAATTCTTCTCACTTTGATGTTCCTCCTCCCCTCTCCAAAGCCCGAAGTCAACTAAAGGGCTGATGATAACTTTCAAAACGCCTGCCATTTGTTACAAATAAATTATTTAAATAACGCTTACTTTATCTCGCCAAATGCAAATAAGCGTCCTCTTTGTTAGAATCCTTATTTGATGCAGGAGTCCGGCCTCAAACGAATGCCCGCCATGTTCATTCTTGAGCAAAAGGGATAGAAACAAAAGCATTATATTCCGGTATTATACCAAAGCAACCATCTTGAAAATACGCTAGTAATTACCAATAATGATTATAAATGAAGGATTAATTGATTGCACAAAAGTACATCATGCTGAACATAGAGGTATGATAAATAAGGTAGGGGAAACAGAGGCTGGTTTAATCTAGAGAAATAGTTAGACACAGGAACGAAACTTACCAAGTAATGAAGCTGTTGCAAACCAATATAATATATAAGAAGGGGGTTGACCAATCGGAATGGAAAAATGGGGAGTTGATCAACTTAGTTTATCGAATTGAACACTATGTTTAGGTTTACCTAAATAATATAATCAAAAAATCTTTTGTTTCGACATAAACATTCCCCCTTAACGGCGTTACGATAAAATGTGAAGTCAATATTCTTTGGCTATTGGTTCAACGCTTGTGACATCACAAAGGGTAGAGCATTTAGAGACTAATCGAAACAAAATTTTTTACCTAAGTTAGGCGAACAAGGATATCTCAAGGGTTTGAAGTTATGTGAAAGGAAGGGAGATATCAAGTAGCCCGACAACACATTGATGATCCTATTCAATAAGACCATCGGTGAACACTGCATAACATTTCGTTTATAATACTTGATTCATTGGCCAACTTTGATGTATGTTGGTTAGGCACTAACATTTGGCGGTAAAACCTAACCTAACTGATTTATTCGGTCACTTTCATGATCTCGAAAGTTAGATAGTTAAATGTCTGAGATGGTAAGGCATTTAGACCTCCCAGACTCGAGACATCCAACCAACTGTTGTAGCAACCTCTTCGGAGAAAATCGTGAACATTAATTGGTGACTACCTTAATCTGGGCTGAGACACGCCTTTTTTCTAAATTAAAGCACCTACAAAACAATGTTTGTCCCAGCACAATTGATGTTGAAATATTTGCCATGATATATTTTGATTCAAACTGCAAAAAACTGCAACCTCCACCCACTTCAATGAACTAAAACTGAGTAGATCCTGAGGGTTTCATTTACTAAATATTAGGGAATTAGGTATGAGAAGATAGTCGCCTTTTATTATTTATCCTAATTTTTATTTAGCCAAATTTGTAATTTCAAGACATTATAAGTTTCTGTTGTTGCTATGCAAGACACGTCACCCCACATATAAGACATTTAATCAATTTGAACTTGGCAACGGAGGCGAACTCCACACCCATTTCCTCATTCGTTGATTCATTCTAGCATTCCTCTCTCCTAGCAACTTGCCTATTCACTCCACATTCCTTGTAATTGAAGCGTTGAATGATGGAATCCGATAGAGGAGAACTAATATTTGTACCTTTTAAAGGCTACTTGCAGACTTGTACTCGTTATAAGGCAAAGCAGTCGTATTAAGATGAAAAAATGTCAGGACAAAGCAATTGAATGGTGTCTTTAAAGCTAAGGTGTCTTTGGAAGTTCGAGTTTCAAGCTCGATTTGCATATGGATACAGCTATTTCATTAGCATCTGTTCGATCTTGGACCTAAGTATGCTGATAACATTATATGAACTATGAATGACACACTTTATACGACATGAAAACAACATCGACTCACTTTCACAGAAGGGGCAAACACCTGCGAACAAATTAATCTCAAATATGCACTCGAATAAAAGGCTCACAAATAGGAAACCGCACAACCAAAAATTTCATTTCGTTAACGGAAAACAAAGAGGTGGAGGAAAATTCTCACCATTTTCCGGAAAATTGATGTGCCATTTCGATCGGCCGCAGATAATTTACCTCTAACGTCATAAGTTGCATCAAGGCCATCTTTTCCATCAACCAATCGGATAGCAGCATTCATTGATTCAGAGAATGAGGAAGTCCCTGAACTCTCAATTCGCTTTAATTCTTCCTCCAGCCTCCCAGTGGTTACTGCAGTCAGCAAAGTCGAGGAAGCAGCATTTTGATCATCTTCAACGGAAGTGAGGTCCATCACTGAAAAATAATGACAAAAAAGCAATCTTATTTTACTACAGCTCACAGACCCATTTGGAAAAAGTCAAGCAGCGCTGGCTCTGATAGATAGGTAGGCATTGTGAGCCAATTCTGATGGTCTCAAATTTCGTCTTCGACTTCGCTGAACACACAGCAGTTTAACTGGAACAATTTTACCCATTTCTTGTGCACCACTGGGCTAGAACGCACGACTTCTGACTTTGCAGAAGAGCGATCTAATTTTTTGGATAATATATTTGAATTTTGCGGTAATTATTAGCCTTGAGGTAGCAATAAATTTCATTTTCAATTTGATTTGAATTTCGTTACATTCTAGCAAACTTCCGATCATTTATGCGTTTCAAATTGAAACCCATTTTTCTACGAATTCCGAGATCACAGGTCCGAATCCATTGAGGCGCAGCCAATGGATGAAATGCCCAGACAGTGATTAAATCTGCCAAAAAATGTAATTGAACTCGATTTTTTTCCCATAAGGACTGCCCTAGGATTATTTTACCAAGATGAGAATAAGAAAATACATTAATAACGAAGGTTATTTTTCATTATTTTAAGGAGTTTCAATTATGTTCAAAAGTATTAGATGATTGAGCTTTGAAAACTATCGACTGGGAAATCCTCGATGAGTATCTCGACTTGAACGCAGAAAAACTAAAAGAGTTTTCGATTTAAGGGCATTATTCGTTGCAGAAAATCATTATAAATTTCTTAATAGCACTTAAATTCGCGAATTTTGAGTATACATTGTTGGAACTGGTCTTATTTAGCCTCAGACATCTGAAAGTGGAGACGAGATTTATAGAGAAAATGACCGTATATAAGGTGTATACGGCCCTCATCTTTTACCTAATCCATATGAATAAATTATAAATCTGGATAAAAGGGTTGGAACACATAGGCTAAGCACCACGATGCCACCTTCAAACTTAGTGGTAAAGGTAGCCAGCAGCTTCGAGAGTCACCTGTAGATCAGCTAGGCTACACTTCTAATCGCCTTTTTAAAGTGTCTTAATGTTTAATGATAATGAAAATTTTCATATATTTATCCTGATTTAAAAAAAAATATGGGCGCAAAAAACACAATTAGGCTTTAAATGTACACCTCATTTCAATAAGGCACCACGATCGGAGTCATAAATTCACCGAATTGAAGACAAAGGAAATGCCCGAAATTTGAACTAATTCCTACGCCAATTTTGCAGTCCGTCTAAACACAAAAGCAATAATGGTAAGAATAATAGGCGTTCAGAGGAAGGAAGCGAAAACGCAGATCAAATAAAAGTTTGTAGAAGCTAAAAACACAATGGTAATCTTATCAGTTAAGAGCATTTGCCGCCTACGGAAAATAGAACATAAAACTTTACTCTCAGTCTTGCACGCAAATTAAAAAAACAATGAGAACATGGTATTTAGCGGCTTAGAGATACTGGTATTTTTTAAGTTCCTAAAAATATCGGACTTACGAAAGTCTGAGGGATTGTGATATCGAGGACACTGGAATCCAATGGAAGCCAGATAGGGAACCAAGCGCTTTACAGGACCCCGATACAAGCATTGTCCGGCGCAAAGGAAGTACAGCTGAAAGGAGCAGCACAGGCGCAGGTAAAAAAAACGCTATTTCATTTAAAGCTCTGGTGTATTCAAGATGTCAATCTTAGCATTTGTTTCAGTCAAAGTTGACTAAACAAGTCAACACTAACTTACGAATTTAATAATTAAAGCCACTAAATGAACTTGAGTGACTTTCATAAATTCATTGCTACTATTCTGAAATAAAGCGAACTAGACTTCTTGAACAGGGAAGATATATTCTAGTCTGCATAATGACAGAATGCGGGGTGTGAGACAGACTTACCTCCACGTGGTGCACCCTGGGCAACGTATACTCATACGGCACACAAGTCTATTAATCGGCAGTTGACTTCTGACTTCAAACTGCCATGACCCCACTGTATGTCATATTCGACCCCTTCCACAGTACTCATCTTACCCTTTCTCTGCCTTGGTGTCTGTCTCTTTTACATCTCTAAAACACTCTTCTGTTCCCCCCCCCC